GATTTCATCCTGGTGGCATGGATGCTGCCATCCTGTGTCCATTCCTCTGCTAGTCAGCTTCTGTTGTCTTAAATGGGTGCATTATTTAACATAACATTGTTTCTTCCTACAGTTAAGAGTAATCACCTTTTCCACTCAAATATCCATTTGAATGCTTCTGCTAATGTTCTTATTAAAGCTGATGTATTTTTTTCTGTATGCAGCTCAAGATCAATAATTTGAGTAAAAAAATTTGTGTATAATATGAGACAAGACTTGTATTAGATTTGAAAATCTGTGTTCAGTGTGGAGGCAATGGTAAAGATGGCTAGGTTTCTAATAGTTGTTATAATTTAATGATACAATAAAAATTACTGCTGTACTTTATGTATAGGAAAAAACAGTCCACTGCTCATAGGGCCTGTGCTGATGACAGCTTCTTCTGTTTACTTGTGGGTACTACCAGGTGAAGCTGGCATATCAGGAGTCTGAGATTGTAGCCCTCTTGAAGAAGATTCCCTTGGGCACTAGTGAGATGAACAGTATTCGAGGAAGAGCTGAAGAACTGCGAGAAGGGACATTATGTGATTACCGTCCTGTCCTGCCTCTGATGTTGGCTAGTTTTATATTTGATGTCCTGTGCACTCCAGGTACTGTCTGCATTGGCTTGAGTGCACCAGCAGCATGTTCTGATATGCCAGGTCTTGAAGGGTTTTCAAAGCGAAACTGTCGTCTTTGTAAGAACAACTTAATCTTGATTCTTCACACGCTGTTGCTTGCACTTCCCTCCATGTTGCTTTAGACGTACTTCGTGTCCCAGTGAAACAGTGTCTCCTTCTGCTTACATTTGAAAACAGCTGGACGATTACTACATTTCAGCATTCTGTGTATGCTCTTTATAGTTATGACTGATTTTTCTACTCTCACGCTGGTTATGTTCATAGGAAGCTAATATAAAATTAGTATTTAAAAAAGAACACAAGAAACTGGGATCCTGACTGAATCAAACCAGACAGGTGTATTGCTAAGACTCACTTGGCAATATACCTGCCTGGTCTGGAGCCTTCTGAGTTTAGAGAGAGAAAGGGAAAAAAACCCCAAAGAACAGGACAGTGCTGTGGTCTCGAAACTGGTACAAGGCTAGTAATAGGACCACAGAGAGTTCTGCAAATTCAGAAAGCTCTCAGAAACGTCTTTTGCCTCAAGGTCCTCAGTTTAGAAAGCTGAGTGCTAATTCTGTTGTTGTCTTTCAGTGGTTTCTCCTACAGGCTCTAGACCTCCAAGCCGTAATTGGAATAATGAAATGCCTGGAGATGAAGAACTTGGTTTTGAGGCAGCTGTTGCTGCTCTTGGTAAGAATCTTTTACAAGGAAAGTCTTCTTGTCATCTGTGTTTTGCATCCTGCCTCATTTCGGATGGTGGGAGTTAGGGTTCATTCATAGAGTGAGAGTTAGTAGTTCATTCTAGTTTGGTGCAGAAGTGAAAGTGTTTGCATGGTTTGTCAGAACCAGACACAGAAGGATTCTACATGCTAGGGTTGAGGCGTCTTTGCAAAGATGTGAAAAATGAAAGTGGGATACAGTATAGGAGCTGTATATTAAAATAGTAACATGAATTTTAGCTTTCTTATGGCTTTTTTTTGTCACAGAAGATGTATTGCCTGGGTTTTAATGGGGATGGACAATTTCCGAGAACAAAAGGCAATCATTTGTTCTCTGAAGAAGAGGTTAGACAATGATAGTGAAAGAATAGTAGAAGTGCTCTTAAGCATAATCATATCATCTTAGCATAATACTTGGTTCTTGCCTCATTTATCAGCTTCAGCAACAAAGCAGCGATTATATATATTATGTTGACAGTACTATATGCCTGCTTAAAAGCAGCATGCAAAAAGGAACAGAATTAATTAAACAAGGCCTGTCCTTTGTTGTCTCATCTCTGAAATGAGAAAGATGAGTTCTTTATGGTGTGGGAATGCTGGCTTGTAGTTCTGCAGAAACTGGAGAAGTTTCTTTCAAGATGGAGCCGTGGGCTTGCCTGGTCTCTTTTCCTGTGGTGGTTTAAGTTCTGGTTGTTCTGACAGTTGTAGCAAGCTTAGTATTCTGGGGACAGACAGCAGCTGCTGTTTATTCATTACCTATTTCTGAAGTTAACAGAAAATGGGGCTAGTCTTCTTTCACCTGTGACAGAGAGGTGAATAAAATAGTCGGAGGTATAGATAGTGCTCAGGATGTTGTGTGGTCCCATGGGCTCACTTGTCTCTTCATCCCCTCTTTACTGGTCTGCAGGCATGAAAACAACTGTCAGTGAAGCAGAACATCCTCTATTGTGTGAAGGCACCCGAAGGGAGAAAGGTGATCTGGCGCTAGCCCTGATGATTACTTACAAGGATGATCAGTCTAAGCTGAAGAAAGTGAGTTTTCCTCTAAAAGGAGAGATGTGCAACAAAGCATGTTTGGGTTTTGATGGATTTGATAGTTTTGCCAGTGAGCGTAAGTTGCTGTGTTATGTACTGATGATTTACAAACTATGTTGTGGTATTATGTTCCTTCACTGATGCAGAATTTGATTGCAGTTTGCATTACCCTGAAAGAGGCACTTTTTCCATAGGTTTCTTAAGGTCCAATTGGGAGATGCATTCTCACTGCTTTTGATGCTTTTGCTTACCTGGTAAAACAAGTCCTTTGTCCCAGGGTTTTTCTGTGCACTCTGTACGTGGTCTGGGGATTGCTTCTGTTTTGCTGCAGAACAATGTATCTAGCAAAGCCTTTGTTTCTTAACCTCTCCCCTTTTTGATATACTATTTCAGTCCATCTGTGCCTTAATTTCGCATGCAAGAGAGGTAGTAAAACTCTGCCCCTCCACCCCAAAGGAGGAGAAAAATACCAAAAGCGCTGAAGCTTCAGGAAGGGTTTTATTAATCTTTTATATTCAGAAACCCTTCTACCCAGCAAGAATATTATTAGTACCTTTCTGTCTCCTAAAGGAGAAGCACTTTTGCTATACTCTTTTCCAGGGAATACCAGAGATGCTGATATAATTCGCCTGCAAATACATGCTCTGTTACACTCATGGTTTTCATTTCACGTGGAGAATGAACAGTAGAAGTGGACAAACACATAAAACGTGGTCATGCATTGTTCCCCAATTATGTAATAAATAGGGACAAGAAAGTAGGTGGGTAGACGGCAGTTTCTCTTGTGGCTTTACCAGTTTCTCAGTATGGTATGACAGGATTTTTTGAATGGTGAGCACATAATTTTGGTATGATTAGCAGAACTAAATATAGAGTCTTCCATTTTGTCCTTGATGTACCAGAGTTACTTGTTTATTGTGAGTTTTGGGTGCTTTTCAAATAATCCCAGTGGCTGAAGTGAAAATGGGAATATTACTGAGTACCAATGAACCTTTGCTTCCTCAGTAATGCAGACCGCATGGCTTTCAGCTGTGCTCATCTTCAGTCCAGGAAGACGATGCCTATTTTCTAGAGAATAAGCATTTTCTTTTTTTTTTTCCTCCAACAGAATGTTGTCCACCAGAAGCTGATTCCATACTTGCCCTCTATGTCTCAGTGTAACACTTGTCCTCTTACCCTTCTGCTGAGCTCTGTTTTAATTTTTCCTTTCCCTTTTTCCTTGCTGTTAAAGATTTTAGACAAACTCCTGGACAGAGAGAGTCAGACTCATAAACCACAGACTCTGAGTTCCTTCTACTCATCCAGCAAGCCTGCAGTAGCAAATCAGAAATCGCCTTCCAAACACGCTGCCCAGTCCACTGCAGCTATCCAGCAGCTTCCAGGGGCTTCTGTCACTCAGCAAGCTGCTGTAAGCACTGCAGTCCAGAGCAGTCCTGAGAACTTTGTGGAGAAGAGTGCACAGGGTAAGAGGTGCTTTGTAAGGGCTGTGTTGAAACCTTTCTGTCATCTGTGCAAAACTGGAACTGTACATTCCTGTCTGTTTTGGGAAGTAGTCAGAGTGATTATAATACTGTATAGCTGCTTGGTGATTACTAGAATGACATTCCCCTATTATCTGTTTGGCTGGATCCATTTCTGTACACATTCTTGTTGCATAGAAATTCAGGATAATTTTGAGGTTTTCCTATTGTGAGCCAGTTGTATAACCAGTTAGCATAAAGCTTCTGTGACTCCATCTTTTAGGCTTGTATCACAGAGGTGTGGGATTTCAAGAAATTACACGCTGGCTCAGGCACCTTCATGCAAGATAAATAACTAGGATTGCTGAAGGGCATTAGAGAGAAACTGGGAACTGGGGTTGTTTAGTCTGGAGAAGAGAAGGCTCAGAATGGACTGGGGGGATCTTATTACTCTCTACAGCTACCTGAAAGGAGGATGGAGTGAGAAGGTTGCTGATCTCTTTTCCCAAGTAACAAGTGATAGGACAAGAGCCTCAAGCTGTGCCAGGGGAGGTTTAGACTGGATATTAGGAAAAATTTCTTCACCGGAAGGGTGATCAGGCACTGGAACAGGCTGCCCAGGGCAGTGGTGGAATCACCGTCCCTGAAAGTATTTAAAAACATGTAGACAAGGCCCCTGTGATATGGTTTAGTGGTGGACTTGGCAGTCCTGGAGTAGAGGTTGGACTTGATGATCTCAAAGGTCTTTTCCAACCTAGCTGATTTTGTGAAACATGTTTTTCTTTGAGCTGTGCTTCCATTTTGGTGGCAAGCATCACATACAGCAGCATTTGGTGGAAAAAAGTGCTCTCTTCACTCTTCTCAAAGAGACCAATACTAGCTGAGAATGACTGCAATAAAGGTAAGGTTGCTGGAGCATTTTTGTTCTAAATTTTTTCCATAGTTGCAGCAAATTTTCCAAATCTTGAGGAGTTCAAATTAAATGTTCTTGGCCTGGTATTGGATGATATGCTTAATGCTGAAAGAAAACTGAGATAATCTTGCTCATAAATAGCACTCATTTTATAAAAATCCTCCATCTTTTTGTGTCTTTTAAATGGCCACATCTGGTTTTAGATACACAGACATAAATCATAACGTTTACCTTGTCACTGTCCTTTTTATGCAGACAACTCTCAGAAGTCCCCCTGTGAGCCAGCTGCAGAGGCCACTGTCCTAAAACAAGAGGGAAAGGTCCCCAGTCGTCTGGCCCTTGGAAACCGAGGTGGATACAATGGGAGATGCTGGGGTTCACCTGTCAGGCAGAAGAAGAAACACACAGGTAGGAGCAGACTAGTTCATACAGCATCTAGTGCTGCGTTAAGCAGCCCGCTGGTGTTTTAGCAATTCCTTTGCTCTTCATTCCAGCTGTCAGACTTTCCTGTACTACAGCAGTAGCTGATTGTCTCTGAGGTGTTTGCCATGGAGTAATAGGGTTTGCTCCAGATTTCCTGCACACTTCTGTATGGCAAGTTACCATATCTTTCTCACACGAGATGTGTTCTAGGTGATGGATTAGTTATCTGGAGCTGAATGGTCACTGGACTCTGGGAGCAACGCACTGTGCTCCTGGGTCCAGAAACAAATTCAGAGGAGCTGCTGCTTCCTTATACGTTTCTTGGGAAAGGTGTAAGTTGGAGGCTGAGGATGTGAACAAGCTTTGTGTAAACTATGCAGCATATACCAGAAGGCTTCTGGTAATACTCTTACAATATGTGGAACTTGACTTTGTACATATATTTGCTTCTTCTTGTTGTACTCTGCCACAAAGCTTGGCAGATGGGGTGAGGGGCCAGGATGGTGTGAAAGGGGAAATAAAGACACATTGTTCTGGGACTCTTCTGCTTTTTAATCTGAGAACTTCAAAATGACACTGATGGCTGTGGTCAAACTGACTCATTTAATCTCTCTTAATTTGCAAAGTTGAATGCTGGGCAGCAGTAAGGCTGACTGACGTGACTGATCTTAGTTGGGATTGTAGGTGATACGGATAGGAATTTATGTACCCATATTACATTTACTAACCCTGGTGGCATTGCTGTGTTGGTTCTGGTGTTGTAGGCATGGCTAGCATAGACAGCAGCGCTCCTGAAACCACGTCTGACAGTTCTCCAACACTCAGTCGGCGTCCGCTACGCGGAGGATGGGCAACAACATCCTGGGGCAGAGGACAGGACAGTGACAGCATCAGCAGTTCTTCAAGTGATTCGCTGGGATCTTCCTCTTCCAGTGGCAGTAGGAGAGCCAGTGGGGGAGCCCGTGCAAAGACGGTGGAAGTTGGCAGGTAATGAATGGTACCAGTGCAACCTCTAGGCCTGATGTCAGGGAGCATGGGTGTATCAGAAGACACTTCCTTGGGAGAGTTTGCTTTCTTTCCTCTGGACCCTAAAGACAGGAACTCTGCACTCCAGCTAATGAATCTGGTGTACTTGCTGCTGTCTGAAAGGTTCCTCTATCTTTTTCTTCTAGGTACAAAGGGAGGCGGCTGGAGAGCCATGCTCCTCATGTTCCAAACCAGCCCTCAGAGGCAGCTGCTCACTTCTACTTTGAATTGGCCAAGACAGTCCTTATCAAAGCAGGTGGAAACAGCAGTACCTCTATCTTTACCCACCCTTCCTCCAGTGGTGGGCACCAGGGACCACACCGCAACCTTCACCTCTGCGCCTTCGAGATTGGGCTGTATGCACTAGGCCTGCACAACTTTGTGTCTCCTAACTGGCTTTCTCGAACCTACTCCTCCCATGTCTCTTGGATCACAGGTTACAGCAAAACTATTATCGGGAAGCTTACTTTAGGGCAGGAAGGGAGGGGAGGGCAGCAAGCTTATTCCCAAAAATGGTGATGCTGATGCGCTGCGGTAGCCATGTAAGCTGCTGGCACAGCTAGCAGTAGAAGCTGAGCACCAGTGATTTACACAGTAGTGCTTCTTTGTCCTAGAAAGTTCTTGTGACCTCTTTCTTGTCTGAAGTGCAACATGCTTCGTTCTTCAAAGCCATAGGCCACTTCCTGCACAGAGACTGGTCTTAACTTCTTCAGGGGTCTGCTGAAGACACAGACATTTGTCAAGTCTGAAAACACCCTTTGGCTGTGTTCATCATTTCACTGTCCTCCTCCTTCTGTTCACACCTAGACCTACTACCTGCTTTCTATGCACATGGCTTCTAGAGCATGAAAAATACCCCTGAAAATTCATGTTTTCTTGACATGATGGAAATAGAGTGTCAGTCTAGGCTATAGCAAGTTCCTCTCACTACCTAAAATGCATCTTTAGCTTAACTCTGATAATGGTACCATCACTCTGTGCTTGCTTATTGAGGGGCCTTGCCTGTCATGTAGTTTTGGGAGAAAGAGCCACCTAAGGGGAGCAACTAGATTCTGTTGCTGCCCCTGAAGGAAGCAAGGAGTGCACCTTCTGTTGAGGGAAAGCTAACTGGAACTGCTCTGGGCGTACAGTGGTGTGAGAATCTTCTCTCTTCCTTTTAGGACAAGCCATGGAGATTGGTAGCGCAGCCTTGAACATCTTGGTGGAGTGTTGGGATGGACATCTGACTCCCCCAGAGGTGGCATCCTTGGCAGACAGAGCTTCTCGGGCCAGAGACTCCAACATGGTGCGGGCAGCTGCTGAACTAGCACTCAGCTGCCTGCCCCATGCCCATGCCCTGAACCCAAATGAGATCCAGAGGGCTCTGGTGCAGTGCAAGGAACAGGTGAGCATCACATGGAGGCTGGCTAGTGCAAGTTGATTCCTAGCATCAAGGATGTGCTTTACTTGTGGGATTGGCTCTTCTGCCACTGGACAGGTTTTATCCCAGTTTTGTGCATTTCTTACGTTTCATGAATAACTGGTTATTCTGCTGCGTATTTGTGATCTGTCTGCTCCCCATGGTATCAGTCATTTTGGACTGTCTCCTGTTGCAGTTTTGCCTTCTTGTGTTTCTGGTATTGCATTCTTCACTTCTGTTTTTTTTTCACTGCCCCCAGGATAATACGATGCTGGAAAAGGCCTGTATGGCAGTAGAAGAGGCAGCCAAAGGAGGTGGTGTGTACCCAGAAGTCCTCTTCGAAGTGGCTCACCAGTGGTACTGGCTTTATGAACAGACTGTTGGTGGGACCCCAGCCCAGAGAGAAGGTGCCACTGGCTGCAGTGCCAGTGGTGCACGGGCTGGGTTGACGGACAACCGGGTGACCTCTGAGCCAACCACCGTAACGGTGGCAACTTCGGTAACCGCAACAGCATCCGTCATGCCGGTCATCTCTGTGGGGTCAACCATGTACCAGCAGCATACAATGGCAGGACCAGCAATGGCACATACACACACGCAGGGTCTCCACCCCTACACCACCCTTCAGACTCACATCCCCTGTAACCCACAGTATATTGGACACACTATCCAGCACATGCCACGCCCGGCTGTCTTCCCAGTCCCTGGCTCAGCGTACCCACAGGTGAGTGTTGCCTGTGGCTTGATCATTCATAGTGACCTTGTGTAGCTGTTTCCAGAGGGTTATATCGGACTGGGGAGAGCGTGGAGCTCAGACCTGCCATGGCTTGAGATCTAGCTTCTGCTCTCAATTTCTTGCTGATCTGTGGTGCTACTTTGGCTCCCCAGCTCAGCCTTTGCATAATGAGGAGCCTTCAGTGAGTGCATTTAAAGTCTCAAGAGGGTGTAAAATGTAATACATATTTTTTAATTTTTATTGCTATATAGTTTCTCAAAAGGCACTGGACAGAAAGCTTGTCTTCTTGAGAACCTGTGGACTAAATAGAGATTATAGAGGGAAAACCAAGTAAAGATTATTTTAACCTCTGCCTATTTTTGGAAGTTCTTGGGGTGGTTTTCTGAAAACTGATTAGATTTAAAAGGAGGAGGAGAAAGCAGATGTAATGGTCATGTGGTGTGGGTAGTTACTGCTATGCTTCTTTCTGTGCTTCCACCTCCCTGTCAGATCGGACTTCCCGTGCTCTGGGGTTTGTGTTTCAGGCTACTTCTAAACAGATGAATTAGACATGACTGTTACATTTTTTTCTATTGTAGGGTGTCCATCCAGCCTTCATAGGAGCGCAATACCCTTACTCAGTAACACCGCCCTCACTGGCAGCTACAGCAGTGTCATTCCCTGGAGTGCCCGTCCCATCCATGACGCAGATTGCAGTGCATCCTTATCACAGCGAGACAGGAATGTCGTTGTCTTCCAATGTAGCAAGTAAGTTACAGCTCTGGGCTGTGTGTAGCATAGGTTTATTTATTGTGTCTCCTAGCTGTACTCCAGTCAAGTCCTGCTCCTCGTTGACTACAAGGTCTGCCAGGGTTCTTGCACTGAAAAGTTCTGGCCAAATTCACTCCATCCTAAAGATGTGCACGCTCAGGGGTACTGGGATTCATAAGGGGGCCTGATTCAACTAGTGGACCTTTAATTTCTGTTTAGCTTAATTTCCAGTATGGGATTAATTTGGCTTCTCAGACTAAAGCGTGGTTAGAGCCCTCCTGGCTGTTCTGACTTAGTGTTTTATTCCTCTCTCTCCTTTTAGCAAGGTGAGCATAGGTGATCTTGAGCAGGCTCTTGTGGTTCCTTAAGGTCTGATGAATAGAGTGCAAGAAGTGGGCAGACTTTTGCTACATTAGTACTAATAGCTGTCTTTCCTGCCTGAAGGGGTTGGAGGCAGCCAGTATCCAAAATGTGGAACTTCTGTAGAGAAGACAGCTGTTTTGGCAGGATCATTTCAATGGCGATCTGATTGCTCACATGTTGTGTTGGAACTAGAGTGGTGGTGGAGACCCATCAAGTAGTGTGCAGCACTGGAACAGCAGATGTTGACTGAATTGTGGATGTGCTCTCACTGCCATGGGGTTTTGCACCAGTGGGCCATGGTTGACCAAAGCTCTGTTATCCCCTCAGCTCGAGAGGCTGTAGTGTTTGCCTCTGTACGTTTGCTTATCACTGCTTTGCAACTCACCAGGTGCTGGAAGACTGGTACGTGGGAAAATACTTCAGAGCTGTGTTAACATCCTTCATAACCAGATTATCAGGAGAATCTTTTCAGGTTTTTTTATCTTGCATTTTCATGCCAAAAAGCCACCACAAAAGCAAATAGCCCTGAAGGCCTCAGGATCTGAAGACCATCCGTTGCAGACAGCCTTAGTCTGGTGCTGTGGCTTAGGCTGGTGCTGTGACTCTGAATTGTGAGAAACCACTTCTGTACTCCTCCGAAGAGTTATGAATCTTCCAGAACTGCTAACTCATCCTAGGGCACTTAAAATAGTGAAAGGAAAAAGCAACCCCACCCTTTCCAGTTGCCATTGTTTATGGATTGCATAAACTTCTGTTTTCAGTTCTTAAAATACTGTTTCACTGTTCCTGGAGTACCTAATCATGTGGTGACGCTTGAGCTCTGGCTACAATTCAGCTCATTCTTACGGGTTATTCTCCTTAGCCAGGCTTCAAATGCGGCACAGATTTCGCCCTGCTTTGTGGGTGTTTGGCACTGTGTGTCTGCTTGGTTGAGGAGATCAGACGGATTTTTCTTGGGAGCACATTGTTCTTGACTGTTAAACATTCAAAATACAAGCTGGAAGTGTCAGGGGAAGAGGAGAAATCAGAACTTGGAGCATTGCTGTGGTGCTGGTGTAGTAGCACCACAGAGAAGCATGAAATAAGGGTAACAATGTGCACACACCTAGTGGCATCCATGCTCTGGAACTGTCAAGCAAACCTTGCTCTTTTTCTCTCCTTAATTTTCTTGGGAGGGAGAGTTAGATATACTTGAGTCCCTTCTCAGAATGCAGCTTATTGTCTCCGTGTTAACTGCTGTCTCTCCAAGTTGAGGTGGTACATAATGGATTTTCCTGTGATTTCGCTTGATTTTGCCCACGCTAGTTAAGTGTCTGAAGGTGACAGCTTCTCAAGTTTCTTTGCTTGTTTTTACTGTTGATATGTGCTACCAGTGTATGCAGTAGCTGTTCTTTCCAAGGATGGATTGGAGGCTAGCCTCCGTTAGCACTCTTTCCTCATGGTAAGCTGTCTTACAACAGAAGTGGAGCAATCTCACAATGAAGGACTTGATCTTTGAGTGACTTAATACTGTTCCTGCTCCATGATTTTCCACAGCAATTTCTCATCAGATGTAGACATGCACATGCGTGTTTTCTTGGACAAGAAATCAGAACTAGACATTTCATTTAATAATAGCAAAGACCTCTGAGTCAACACACATATTTACATATAAAACATGGATGATGTGCATGTTCACGATATACTGCTAAAGAGATGGACAAGCATGTAACTGACTGTGTCCAGGCTCAGCTTGCAAAGAAAATAGAGATATTCCTAGCCCATAGTATTTCAGTTCTAAGTCTGTGGTTGCTGTTTAGGGGAACACTACATTGACAGGGGGTGGTCAGGTGAGGGAGATGATGGCCCAAGTGAACCTTCTTTTAGGTTGGTGGTGGGTCCTAATGCTGCTGTTTTGCTCTCTTCAGTAGGAAATGTCCATGCAGGATCAACGTTCCCAGCGATTCAGGGGGCTTCCATGACAACCATGTCCTCACAGCCCAACTCCCTTGTTACAGGGAGTTTTCCTGCCGAGGATGAGCAGCACAGTCAGCCTGTGAGCCCCCAAGGTCTGCACTACCTCCACTCTGCATACCGAGTTGGTAAGGACGGCCAAGTGGGTTTCTATGGCCCCTTCTCAAGGGCTTCAGGGCAGGGCTGCAGACAATTTGCTGCTGCACCTGTTGGGGGTGATGGCATCTTAGGTAGATGGGAAAAGCAAGTCCATGATCATATGTGGAGGCTAAAAGCAGAGGCAAAGTAATAGAAGATCAAATAGCTGCTGTTGAGGGCTGTCAAGAGTAGAAGAGAAAGCTAAGTGGGTTAGAGCTGGGGAGAGTCTTGCCTTTCTGCAGGTGTATGTAAAGGAGTCTGGATAGGGCTCTGAGGATGTGACTGTGAAAAAATTAGCAGCTCCTGCTGCTCATGGATGGTGAAGGCACACTTCTAGTTTAATAATACCATAATATTCAGAGGCACTGAGGGATGCGTGCTGTGCCTCTCCAGCTAGGTTGTTGAAGACTGACATGGAGAGGACTTAAATTTTGTGGAGAGTTGGCCAGAAAGGGGTGCAGATGTCATTGGAGACATTGCACTGGTAAGTGGTAAGCTGTGAAAGGTGTTTAACAGCCTCAACAATAGAGAAGTGGGGGTGGGAAAGAGGGAAGATCTGGAAGATCACAGCATGGCACCTGTTGGTATTTTAGAAGTGTTTAAATGTGAGGATTTGCCTGAAGAACTTTAGTGGCATGAGCGACATTTTTGTAGATTGGCAATACTGCAGCTCAGAGTTGACCTGTTGTCTTTGCAGAGGGGCAGGTTGGTTTGGGTAGCTTCTCTGTTGCGAAATTTAGAGCAAATGTGTTGCTTTCAAGACACCTCCTGTAGTACAGCCTTCCGGGCTATCTCATTGACCCTGCTGTAGATGCTTAATGAAGTATCTCTCTGCAGCTCTAGTGAGCTGTGATGGCTGTGCAGATTTCCCAGCCTGGAGCAGCAGATCCAGATGTTCTTACAGATACTTCCTGTGGTGACAGGCTGCAAGATGGGCCTTTTGTTTCTCTCTGGACTCTTTGCAGCTAGGGAATTTTCTGCTGATGCAGGGCAGGCCAATCAGGTTGCATTGCAGTGAGTGAAAAGCTAGACTGAGTCTTAATGGGCAGAAGTGCTGCTTGACTGTGGCTGCCCCTTTCTCACAGGGATGCTGGCTCTGGAGATGCTTGGCCGAAGAGCTCACAACGACCACCCCAACAACTTCTCCCGCAGCCCACCCTACACAGAGGATGTAAAATGGCTCCTCGGGTTAGCTGCAAAGTTAGGTAAGGCTCAGAGCAGTACTTCAGCAGAAATCCACTTGCTGGGATTTGGACCATGGTGGGAAAAAGCTCTCCAAAGAGTGAAACTTCAAAGATTGGGTGAGCCTCATATCCAGTCCCATTTCTGAGAGTGTTTCAGAAGATCCCTGCTGCTCTTTCATCCAGGCAGTTGTCCCATTTCTGGGTTCTGTAGGCATGCTGTTGAATTTTGAGGCACTGGATGAAGTGCATGGGGTTGGACAGGGCTCAGAGCTTGTATCTCTTCCATTCTGTAACAGTAATTCTTTCTTGTAGGTATTCCTCTTTCTTATATACATTTACAGCTTCTCTGTAGGCGTTTTATAGCAATAGGTGCTCAAACCACCAATTGTTTGGGGTTTTGGTTTTTGTTTTTACTTCCACTTTGCTCTTGGATCTTTTTTGTCAGTTCATTTTTTCAATTCTTTCATAAGCACTAAGAACTTCAAAGAAACCAACCTTTTACAACCAACTTGTCCAATGGCATGGCTTCTGCTGCTGCTGCTGCTGGGGGAGCAACACTGCTGCAGGCGGTGGTGGGGAAGCTTGACTATGTCTCCAGCCTCCCTAAGGCCTCAGTGCTGGGGCATCTAGGTGCTTCCTAGATGGGCAGTCAAGAAGCAATGGGAGGAGGCGCAGTGTATCCTTGCCTCTGTAGTTATCTTCCAGTTTTCTTTCATATCCACTTTAAAGACAGGTGGACATGGGAATACCAGTCACTGAAGTGGTACCTGGTCTCTACTCAGACCCGATGGATATATCAGAATGATCTCTTGTCCCCATGTGTTTGCTAGACTGTCTCCCTCAAGCCTGCTGGAGGATACATTACACTGAGAAGAAGGTGCTCCAAATCCAGGTTCTTGCTGGGAAGTAGCTGGTATCTCTTACCTTAACACTGTTGTTCTGACTTCTCCTTCCTGTGCAGGTGTAAACTATGTGCATCAGTTTTGCGTTGGTGCAGCCAAGGGGGTGCTGAGCCCTTTTGTGCTCCAAGAGATCATCATGGAAGCTCTACAGAGGCTCAACCCTGCCCATGTGCACAACCACCTGCGCACCCCAGCCTTCCACCAGCTGGTGCAGAGGTGCCAGCAGGCCTATATGCAGGTAATGTGTGTCCTGCCTTCTTGCCTGTCAAAGCTTCCCTGCCTGCATGTACTGTCTGTGTGTGCATGTGCAGAGGAGAAGGGACCTTTTGTACTGGTAGCTGAATTGGTCCGTTGCGTGACGCATCCCTCTCCCTCAGGAGGGACTAGAAAAGTCCTCTTTCTTCCTCACTCCAAATGCTACCCGTACCTTTTAACTTCTGTACTTTTTCTTTGCAGTGCTTTCAAGCCCCCTGTCCGCTTCTCTTCATAGCCTGTCTTACTTTTTTTGCCTCTTTCCTTTTATGTAACCTGTCTTCCCCTGGTTACGAAGCTTGGGCATGGCTGTCTGGTGTGCCAGTGCTGGCACTAATAGTGGAGGTGGCTTGGTCAGCTACCAGTACAGATGAGATATCCTGGGATTTATTGAAACCAGGACAAGAATGTTTCGGTGAGCCAGCTGCAGTACCAGTGCCACATGTACCTTAAAACAGTGTGAACAGGACACCCCACCTGTACCTGCTTCTCTTGAATAAATGACCAGAAGGGTGGTTCTGTAGACATATTGCCCGGGCTGGATTAGGTGTCCTATCACCTGGATGATACTTTGGAGAGATGAGAGCTTCTTCACTTGAGCTCAAAAGCTGGTCCTGCAGTTTTGGAGCCTTAGTTGAGAAGCTGATAGAAGTGACAGTGTGAAGCCTAGACATATTTTGTAGCATCTTAGTGTAAGCCCAGCAGTGAATGTGTTGGGTTGCCATGTATAACCTGCAGGATGAAAGGTCTGAGGGTTAGATGCAGTGGGTGGTGGGCTAGGGGTTAGCTGGCCCTTTTGTGCATTGCGTCCTTTGCTTTTTAAGCCAGCTGTCCTCTGTCAGAGCCTCTCAGTGTTGGGACCTCTCATGCGGTTACAGGATCGTGTGACACGTCTTGAGTCACATGCATGACTGAGTGTCACCAGCATGAGGCTGGTGAGCAAACAGCTAAAGGCTCT